CAACATCTCGAGACATTGGAGTGCTCGAGATGCGTTCCATCTGCACTGGTTCATCATTAGCCCAATCGACGACGTTACCGCGAAGTTTACTCTTCGCTGCCAGGTATTTTCTTTCAAGTTCCTGAAATTCAATCATTTCGTCGTCATCATCTTCTTGAAACCAATCGTCGTGGCCGAGCTGTTCTCCCTCGGCTCTATGGCTTCCAGCTTGTGCGTGCAGCGCCCGCTGCACTTCTGGATCCAGCTCACTTTCGGGGATGTCGACATTTCCCCAATTTGCAGGATCTATAGCTTTACCTTTAGCTACTGTCCCAACCTCAGGATCCGGACTGTCCTCTGTTGGTTGATATATTTTCTTATTGCCAGAATCCTCTGGGATTCCGAGTGCCCTCTCAATCATACCTAGCCTCTGAGCAAGTGTACTATTCACCGTTTCTTGGGTTTCTGACATGGTACCCAGCTGTTCAAAGAGGGCCTTTACCATGTCTCGAGTTTCGGCTACTACTTGCCTCGCATCTTGTACGACAGGGTCACTAATTCCCGACTCCCGCACCACAGACTGGTTACGCGGGGAGTCAAGGCTAATACTACGACGAGCGGGCCTCGCTGCAGCGGCTCCGCTTGTCTCAGCTACACGGTTTGCTTTCCCGTGGCTGTCATTTTCTCCGCGACGGTCTAATCGACCGCGCACGTCCTCCACCTCGACGTCCCTGTCGAGGTTGGTGCCAGCGGCGCTAGTTGCCGCCGCTGGCTCCTGCCTGGAGCTCGCTCTCAGTGCAGGCGAGCCTGCATTCGACTCGGTGGTAGGACCTTCCTCAGGGATGACGTGTCCCTTCTGGCCCTTGCCACTGCGCGCCGGAATCTTCCTGGTCGCCATCTAATGCAGAATAGTTGTTAGTATACACAAGACTAATGACAACGTACCTGGATTTCCTGGGTGATCAAACCAAGAGGTCTCCGAGGGTTGGTCGTCGAGAAGAGTAGTGTCGAGTAGTTGTAGAAAGAGTAGTAGAGTGTGTTAATATCAAAAATATGTGACGTCGGGGCGTGAGAACACGAGTCCCGGCACACGTTCAAACCTCGAATGATAGGATAAACACTAAATTCAAGGTCGTCTACTCTACTAGCTATCCGACTCTTTATATACTTAAAAACCTGCCTACGTAATACTTATTGTATAATATGGAATATTATAGAACCCTACGGTAGAAAAGATGATGTAATGTACTTGACTAACGTCCAAGTTCGGGTGAGTCAGTGACTACCGTCACACCGAGTCCGCCACTGCCTAATCGAGTTATCCCTACTAAACTTCCGCTTGGCCGCAGACCGTCTTTTCTCCATGTACCACCATCCAGGCCTAGACAGGTCCCACCATAGGGGTCGGGCTAGTTAAATAAACACCGTCATGAAGAGAGAATTTGTTTTCCGTAATGTCGAGCACCCCTCTGATATACCGCCTTGGAGAAAAAATAGGACATGGTTCATATGTGAGTCCTTTGGCTCAATCACCCGTCATAAAGCACACTAACATTCATTTGTGGAATTAGTGCCTCGTGTACCAGGCAACTGAACAGAATTCAGGAAAAATCGTCGCGCTCAAAAAGTCGCGCGCTCCCTTGAGAGTGAACCGCACTTTGCTCAAATACGAGGGCCACATCCTCCAGCTCCTCCAGGGGCACCCTTCGATCCCAGAGGTGTATGCATACGGGCACCTACCTCACTTCGAATATCTGTCGATGGAGCTCATGGGACCGAGCCTGAAGGACAAATGGCCTGGCCCTACCTCGCGCATACCAATAAAGACAGTCCTTCGCATCGTTTACCAGGCAGTACGTTTCGCGTCGCTTTCACTTCAAATCAGACCCTTCTGAGTACAATATGAACCAGATTTGCGCCCTGGAACACGTTCATACCCATGGATTTGTACACCGGGATATAAAGCCCGAAAACTTTCTCTGCTCAACAGAAGACCCATCCAGAATCATGCTTACCGACTTCAACATATCAATTCCTATCAAAAAAGGTCCATTAAGCAAGTACAACCCCCTTGCCGATTCCAGACATATTGTTGGTACCATCCACTGGGCGAGTCTTAACGCCCTTGAAGCAATTGGTAAGTATCATGTATTATGTTTCACAAGTTGACTTTTTCGACGGTAGAACTATTCCAGACCTTGCACCTCGAGACGACCTCGAGTCTCTCGCTTACATCGCTCTCTTCTTCGTACGTGGCGACCTTCCATGGCGCAGAGGTGACTATCACCTCGAACCGTTAAAGCGCTGCCTGCATCGCATCCGAGCCGCCAAGGCGGCATTATCTGGTGTTAGGCTGGGCGCCGGTCATGCACCCGAAGTTGGGCACTTACTCGATTACAGTCGCCGGCTGGGGTTTACTCAACTCCCCGACTACGACGACCTCAAAGCCCGGTTCACTGCACTGGCGACACGGCTGGGATTCAGATCCATATCCGGAGAGCCCCTCGATTGGACTCCACAGCCATCCAAGCGAGAGATAGGGCCAGGCCTTGTTGTCAGCGACAATAGTGGAAGTAGTAGTGGGAATACCGAGGCCGAATATGAAGATACCTCCACCTCCTGCGGCGACGAAGAACCCGAGCCGGCAGTTCTAGGCAGCTACTTTGGCCAGGATATCAGCACTTGGGATTTCGTTCAGGGCGAGCGGGCTTTGGAGCTAACGCTTCCGGCTGACCAGGAGGAACTGGCAGACAGCCAAATCGCGTACATTACAGAAGTCATCAATGATTAATTCGTTGCTGGTACGTAGACTGCCAAGCTGCAGCTCGTATCCTTCAGTGACTCTAACTTGGCCCTGTCGATGACCGAGGGTAGGTCTATGCGCTTAGGCTGATGACAGTAGATCCCTCTTCTATAGGTTCGGCGCAACCAAGCATTTTAACCGAAGGTCAGCGGGTCGACGCAAACCGCCATGTGAAAAGGGATTGTTCTTCTGTTGAACGGCATGAGCCTTGAAACAATGTACTTATATGCACAATACCTTGCACAAATCGCAAAATCTAATAACAATGTATTGAAGTTAACACTGCTGGTGTTGAGGAAATTTATCGTGGCAATAAAATAAAATTCCACGGGAACCACAAAAATCGATGTGAGATTCTCCACATGATCCATAACTCTACTCGCGGTCAAAGTTCTTCCAAGCATGTTTTTCGTACTCGATCGTCCGATTTCTCCGTTTGGTGGGCCTGTAATTCATCAAAGGTGAGGAAAAAACAATGTCAAAAAATTACCGGTGACGTACAAAACCGGGACTCTGGGTTCAATAAGCGCTCTCTGCTGCAGACTTTGGAATCGGTCGCGGAACAAATTGCCTTCAGGCTGTGAAAAACAACTTAGCGCGAGTGATGAAACCATGAGATGGCGACAAACCTTCAAGCCCCGTAGACTTTCGCTCAGATCTTCACCCAGCTGAACCACAACACTATCCTCCGGCACCTTGTGTTTCCCAAGTTTCTGTCCAGCCAGGCCTTGCTTCTTCAGTTTCTCGGCCAGCTTGAGCAGCCTTTGTTCGCGTTCCTGTTCTTGGGCAGACATCACTCTCGCCGTCGACCGCCGCATAGCTTTGGCGTCGTTGATGGAGGCCAACAGCCGTTTCCGTTGTGCTTTCTCCGCAAGTGCTCGTTTCTAAAAGAACGTCAATAAGCAAATTCCTCCTAAAGATATAAAATACGCGCCTCCTTGAGCAAGCGGGCAGCCTTATTTTTTTGGGCCTTCGTTTTGCGTTCAGGCACCTTTTTCGCCAGCTGTTGCGATTCATCCTCGCCTTGCGGCTCTTCTTCCTCCTCCTCGTTCGCGTGAAGTTCTTGCACTTTCATGCCCGGCGCCACTGAGAAGTCGTATTCTTCTTGATTGTCCTTAGCCTCCTCGATCTTCTTTTTGGTCTCGGCGAGTTTCTCGGCCTGCTCCAGCCGCTTCTGCTCGATTGTTGCGGCTTTCACAAGTAGCTCTTGATGAGCATCTGCGGGAGGGTTGTAAGAGGTTCCTTGATGGGGTTCTACGATCGCAGGGACTTCAATGAGATCTCTGGTGTTCGTCACGATTGGAGGCTAATAAACTTGTTAGTTACTTGCATTCTTACGACTCAATAATAATAATAGATGCGCACCTTTGCTTTCTTCTTCGTCACAGTCTCAAGACCATCCTTCAGTTCTTCTTCTGGTGGCTGAGGCGCCCATGGATCATATGTTCCGCTGAGCTTCACGGCCTCGCTAAGATCGACGACTCCACTTCCAGCAGCGTACTCCGAGGGATCCATGATACTATTGAAAGGTCCTTTCCGCGGCCGCTTTGCGATCCGCATCAACCTCTCCTTCTCCTCGCGATTCAAAACAGGCTTCCGCTTATTTGAACCAGGCGTAGTTCGCGAAAAAACAGCAGGCACGGCCGACCGTTGCGCAAGAATTTTGGTAGATGTCAGCTGCGACGCCGAATATCTAGGCAGAGTGTGTCTAACTGCAATATTCCATAGTTGTCAGAAAACAAAAATCTTATGCAGGAGAAATGCAGAACCTACTTTTATCATCTCCTGTTGTGTCGACCTGGAATAGCTGTCCATCTTGCATCTGGTGTAAAGTCGTACTTCGGAATAGCGTCAGTCCACAATACAAAAGATACATGGTTGAACTCGTACCCAGTCACCCTCTCCTCCGCCCTCATACCCTCCAAAACCTCTTCAACGTCTTCAATATTCACATTTTTCCGCCAAGCACGTTTTCCTTTGCGACTCGCTTGCGTATGTTGAGACGGTGCGCCTACTGCCGAACGGGCAGGCTTCTTTCCCTTAGCTTTAGAAGTCGGCTTGGAGTCAAGGGCACTTGCTTTACTGCTTTTCGAGGTAGCCATGGTTGACCGTTAAATTTCGAAGAAATAACCTTGACGCTAAAGCAGTCTGGCCAAATAGCGGCAAGCAACCCGTCTAAATGCCGAATCTAATCTTCATGGATAGACAGCTATCATATGGGCTCTTGGCGCAGCTGGTAGCGCGCCTGCTTTGCATCTTCGTGACGCCTGCATGAGGTCGTGGGTTCAAATCCCGCAGAGTCCACGGTATTTTTTTTCGCTTTGACGATTTCAACGGCTGAGTTGCAGAGAGTCTTTTTTGCGTGGGTTATGTAACGCCGTACTCTTGAATCGGGATACTTAGTTTCGACGACAAAAAACTATCGTGGATATGTCAACGGAATGTATGTGGTTCTTTCGAACATAACTTTTGCTCAATATATTACGCTCTCTGTGCCAACAGTTCACTTAATATAAATATACAACAGTCGACCTCCGCCGCCCCATCCCCTATCTTTCCAACATCCGAGGACCATGGCTAGTAAAGCAGAGAGTAGCGCAAAGGAGAAGGAGTAGCGAAGGTAGTACTAAGTAGTAATAGCGGTAAAACGGCGATTCATATAATCTCATCAAAACGACGCAGCCAGCCATATTAAATTAGCCCACCCCACAATGCACACATACGAGATACGAATTGTCAACTAAGCGGCGGCCCCGAAGGGGAGGGGAGGGTTAAGTGGAGAAGATACCGATGATCTTGAATGCAGGCACTCCTTGGCCTTCTTCGCCCAGGAGTTGGCAATCGACGAAATGCGACCCGCGAGAGACGTAGTGGTCGATAATTTGCAGTTTGAAGTACGTTAATGCAAGTGTTAGACCATGTTTGCTTGTGAAATACATAGGTAACATACGCAGGTATTGGCTCGCCGACGTCAGCGTGAAGATGCTGCACATGAATATTATACAAGTTTTTTTACTTAATGTTCCAGCCAATCATAGTGGTCGTATAACTAATGGCCCATATCCGATACACTGCGCCACACTCCAAGTCCCGCGCACTTCTTCCGGTGCCCATCACAAGAACCACAAGTCATTAAATGGGTGTACGAAAATCCCAAGGATACCGGGTTGCACAATCGCAACGTCCACCCGACGCCCTCACTATTAACTAAGTGACCCAACGCTGAATTCGAACCCTGCAAACAAGCTTCCCTTGCACGTCGCGTGTCCCAGAAGCACTCATGTCTATCCCACATCCGTGCGATTAATCCTCTCCGAAACTGATCCTTCCTGATCCAGTGTCCAAAAAGTTAACGACGTCGGTCGTTTATTTTACCCTATCCTTCCAACGACCTTATACTATGTATCGAGATGGTATGTGATTCGAAAGAGTATTACCGCTCACCCACGTTGTGGATCTGTTAACGTGGCTTAGGCTCTGGCTCGTGCCTGGCTCTCATGTCGAGGGGCTTACAGGGGAGTTACTTAGACCTGACTCGCTTTCTCGATGCATTCTCCATGCAGCACAGTCACTGCTCGAGGTAAGTATGAGGTCTACCGCGTCAGACCCACTGAGGCTGTTGTATGAAAAGAGAAAAGACGTATAGAAGCCCGTTCAAATGACATCCTACTCTCCTCCTTTGAAGAGAGGGGTGCCCTATATTTCGTTAGCGAAACGGGCTCACCAGCCCATTGCCGAAGTAGGTTTACTCGACCCGCAGCCCGGCAGACACGTACTGCTAATTACAACTGGACGCACGGCGTAGGCGCTGTTCCTGCGGTCCTCCTACATATCGCAACCTGGGACGTTCATTTTTTGCATAAGTATACATACATGTCTATTCCCCATTTCCATTGTTTCATCCTACTTTTAACCTCGTTGTAGACCGGATTTCAGCGAGCATTTAATTTTAGGCTGGATTTGAGCATAAACACGAATGGGATATTTTATCTCACTCGGCTCGTTCGTGATTCGGTCCAAGAGAGGCATCATCCGAGGCGGCAGACCGCGGTGATGTGGTGATGTGGTGGAAGTATTTTTGGCGAGCTTTTGGAGGCGAGCGGCAGACGTACCTGCCTTGTCGGCAAATGTACGCCGAGGATGCCAACCGCTTGACGAATTCCATTAGACTTTGCAGATAAAGAGTGGAAAGCGATGTCGCATAACTTCAAGAGCGGTTTATCCATACAGCATGAGCGCTTTTCTTTTTGAGCACGCCGATTGGCGGCTGTTGAGGAGACGAGCTATAACAAGAACTGCCTATGATCAGTACGATGTTCAGCACGACCAACAGATACATGACGAATGGGCGGGCGACAGTAAACATGATTGACTGATTTCTTGCTCAGATCATCATGCGCAGCGAACCCTTTTTCAGAGATGCATTGGTTCGACCAAGACCACCGAATGAATTAAAATTCCAGAGAATCGAGGGGCAGTTCGTTGAGATTTGGAAGACAGGAAAAATTGTTTGAGACAAGAGAGTGTTCTAAAGAACATGGAAAAGAAAGACTAGCAGGGCGCGAGTGTCGATGTTGTCGTTGTCGGTGAACTATTGCCCGAGCATCCCGAGAGCATAGAGGGTGCACTCGCAAGGAAAAAGCCGGGCCCGGTCAACAGTTGGCATATCGATGCGCCATCGAGGGAGCTGACTTTTTGTATCGCGAAGAAGACATTCTTCAAGAGGATATGCGCGAGAAGACAAGATATTCTTTCACAGGAGTCGAAGGGCGGGTTCACGTCGGGAAAGGAATAGTCTTCGTAGTCACTAAGACGTCGATGGCCATTCGGAGATTGGCGGGGTATGAATCCGTCGGCTGGGCTGCGAATTGGGAAGTTCCATAAATAAACACCACGACGGACCCGTGAACTTTTCGCACTGCCATTATGCTGCGGATGGATGGAATGAGAGCGAACCTCTACAGCTGGGGCGAACAGGTCGGATAATACAGTACTGACGCTCGGCAGAGCCGCGACTACTCTCCTTTACTTCTTATATAATATATTATCCTCCTTCTCACCTTTTCTCTCCGCTTCTACATTCCCCAGATACAATGGCACCTCTGGCGCTTGCGCTGTCCTTTCTATTACTTCCTTCTCTCTCTCTCGCTGCGGACCCCATTCACGTACCCCTCACTCGTCGTACAGGCTCAACCCACAAATTCGACATCGCCGAAGAAGCCCTTCGTCTCAGAGTCAAGTATGGCTTTGCCAATGCGACATCCCTGCTACCTAGAAGCACAGGTATCGGCAGACGGGCGGCTTCTGCTGGTATACCCGTAACGAACCAGGTATTTTTTTCTGTTTTCTTGTTTTTTGGTCTTTTCTCATTCCTGATGAATTGCAGGACGATGACGCCAGTTATTTTGGAACGATAACCATTGGTACACCGTGAGTTGCTTCGTTAAATTCCACTCCGTCGACTCCGGAGCCTGCGCCTGTCCATTTTTTTTATGGTTCCACGGAAAAGACAAGCCGAAGAAAAACACGCTTACTAACTGCTTGCATTGCCTCTAACAAACAGACCGCAGAGTTTCGCCGTCATCCTCGACACTGGCTCTTCGGATCTATGGCTCGCGGGCACCTCATGTAAAAGCTGCACCTCTGCGACCCCTTTGTTCCAGACCTCGCAGTCGTCGACGTTCCAGGGTGGCACAAGCACCATTGGCACAACCGGCACAACGATTGGCTCACGGATACAGATCACCTATGGATCCGGCCAAGTCACCGGATTGCTCTCCTCAGACACAGTGTCGATGGGCGGCTTCACTATTCCCAATCAAAATTTCCGTGCGTAATACTTGTTCGCAATGATGCCGACACTTGAGGTAGTAACTAACATTGAATTTTTTACAGTGGACGTGGACGACCTACAGAGCGACCAAGGGGGCAGTCTCCTTGACGGTGCTGTGTCGGGTATCATGGGTTTGGCGTTCAGCACAATTGCTAGCACACGTGCGACGCCGTTCTGGCAGGCACTGGTTAACGGCAACCAGCTCTCGACGCCCGAGATGGGCTTCTGGCTGGAGCGGACCAATAACCCACAGATACAAGACGTGCCCGGAGGGGTGTTTACCCTCGGAGGAACGAATTCCTCCCTCTTTACCGGCGATGTCGAGTTCATCAACATGCCAGTTACTACCCCCTCGTTCTGGCTTTTGGCTGTGTCTAGTGAGTTTTTGTGTTCTGCCTCAATTTTTTTCCACTAGGTTTCTTTACCTATTTTATTCTTTCCTCCTAAATTCGCTCATGAGGTTAAATGTGGGTCTGGTCGTTCGAATATATTTTGCCTTGGGTTTCCAGGTATAACCGTCAATGGAAAATCCGTGACAGTCTCCACCAACACGGCGCTGTCAGCTATCGACACCGGTACAACCCTCATTGGTGGACCCACAACCGACGTCGCCAGCATCTGGGCCGCCGTTCCTAACAGCGGTCCATCACCGACCAGCCCTGGATTCTTCAATTTCCGTGCGTCCCGCCTCTTCTTTTCCTTTGGCCGTACTGACATGTTCGTTATTCGTGCGTTATAGCGTGCTCTACGCAAGTCGTCGTCACGCTCTCCTTTGGCGGCAAGGCGTGGCCCATCAGCGCCGCGGATATGAACACCGGTCCGGAGCCTAATGACAACACCAAGTGTATCGGTGCGATCTTTGATTTGAGCATGGGCACGAATATCGAGCCCGGTTCGGGGAACCCGAGTTGGGTCGTCGGTGATACTTTCCTCGTACGTATTTCTCCCGATTTATAGGAGGTTTCTGGCTGATACTCATATCTCCTCTTTTCTCCCTTTTTTTCACCCGTTCTGGGTTCTTTCGACCGACAGAAAAATGTGTACTCAGTTTTCCGCGCAACGCCGCCCTCGGTCGGATTCGCACAGCTCTCCAGCGCAGCGGGAGGATCAGGTGCGGGACCGTCTGCTCCGCCAGCGAGCACTGGTGCTAGTGCTTCTATACTCACGACTTTGTCGACCCCTACTACGTCTGGACTTGCAGGCACGCCAAGTGGATCGGGATCGACTTCGGGAAGTGGGAGTGGCTCGCCTACTGCTAGTATGTTTTTTCTTTTCTTCGTCTTTTGTTGCTGTTTTTAGTTGGGCGTTTGATGCGATTGGGAGCTGATCAATCCTCTTTTAAAATCTAGGCGGTGCTTTGTCGACAAAGGCATCGACGGCGATCGTGCTCGGTTCGGCGCTGACGGCGCTCGTCATGCTCTATCTGTAAAGTTATCTCAAACGATAATATGCACTCGTGCTCGCCGGAACT